TCTCATATTCATGTCACATGAGAACTCATGGTTGGGATAATGCAAATTAGTCTTTTGACCTGAGGCATCACAGTTGTCTTGTGGTTAGGTCCTTAATCTTTGATTATGTCAACGTCACTCTATCAGGGTGTCCACGGCATCGTTGGGGTTAAGCCACTTAGCCATGGAGGCAAGTGAATGCGCAACAAGGGATCTCTAACCTTCAAACTGTTTGAGGGAGAATACTCTATGATATGATTTAGAATCTCTGGCCAGAGTATGAATGAGATGTTGGAATGCGTTCCAGATCACATTCAAGGTAATCATATAAGTACAAGATTCACATTGGATAGTAGACATGAATAAACTATCAAACCAAACAATGTGGTCAAGAGTATTGTATTAGAGAAATACCGTATTGCATTTGTAATCCTAAACTGAATAGGTTCTCCACCTCTTCTGATTAGCTTGGGTAACCATGATATGCTGCTAGGTGTCACTCATGGTTTGTGGAAGCCCTAAAAGTGTATTATCACTAACGGGAGAATTGAAAGTAAGTTTCAATTCACAATCGATTTGAAAGAGTTTGAATCGCCCACTGCCTCGCTAAAAGGAACCTAATGGATCGTACACCGTGTAAGGTAGAGTTTGAAGATTCAACGGAGATGAGTAAGAATAATTAAATGGTTTAATTATTTATGGCAAGGATTAATTAATATGTTAATTAATCAAACGAATAAGTTCGTTAAAAACCTCGGGTTAGTTTTGGGCCGCAAGGCCCAATGGGATTTGAATGTCAAGCCCATTAACTCAAGTTGTATGACAACTTGAATAAAACAAAGGGCTTGAAAGCCCAATAAACCTATAGGCTAGCCATGTGTAAAAGAATAGGGCTTTTGGTCCATTAGGTCACTTATTTGAAGGGACTATATAAAGGACTTTATAGCCTAAAATTTACTAAGGGTTATTTTGGGGGAAAGGATGAGAACACAAGCTCTCCTTTCTCTCTAAAATTTTGGCCAATCTAGAGGGGAAAATCTAGCAATCTTACTTCCTCTAGGTCACTCATTTCTTCTTCAATATACCTTGGTGTGGAGACTTAGAGGTTCTCAATTTTGGGAACTTGGAGAAACCTTTTCATCCATCCAAATCCATGGATCTAAGATGCAAGGAATGAAGGCCCTCTCTTTGGGTGATTAGCCTTTGCTTATGCAAAGAGGAATCTACAAAGGTATTGATTTCTCAACTCACTTTATTTTGAGTTGAGTCTTGGTTCACCTATCTACTAGGCTTTGAATTTCATGGGTAAATGTTTTGTTTTTAAGTGCATACAAGCATGATTCCGCCTTTAATTGTTAATTGCATGCTATTGATGTTGCTTAAATGAACATGTTTTTCACAAATCTTCCTTCATGTGATGGATTGCTAGCTAAGGGGTTCATCTCCACACATGTTACACTTGCATAATAAAAAGATTTCCAATTGCATTTCAATAAACCATGAATTCTCAACACCCCAAGTTAACCGTGATGCACTAATTAACCTTCAAATCTTCCCAACGTTATTGAATTGGATGATTGCATACGACAACCCAAAACATTCCCCACAAGTCCCCTACATGATTGCATAATAGAGATACAAGCAAGAATCATTACGCTCTATGAAAATTATAAGTGTTGACGAGGCATTCGTTACTATGATTGCATGAAACTTATGCCAATAATTCGTTTAACGCGATTGTTTATAAGCAACCTCCACTACTTGTGAATATAAGTTCGTAACTATTAGGTGAAACTCACTTATATTCTAGCGTCATATTCATGCATGAAAATTAAGCGTGTACTCTCAATAAACATACATAAATAAGTTATCAATCAAACAGTTAAACAAATTGAATCCACAACTTATGAAACGCAATTAGAAGTAATCAAATCAAAATGCAAGCATAAACATATATTTCGAATCCCCCCCTAGCCAAAGGGGGGTTTAGTTCCTCATACGTACAAAACAAAGAGAATTGAAATTAAACATTGTAATCGAGGAAAAGAAACACCTAAACATTCCAACAACTCACACTTGAATTGTATGAACGTTTAGGCACTCTTCTCCTCCTCTTCGTTGTAGCACAAGGTCTAAGGATAGTTTTATGGTGTGGATGTGTGTTTGAATGAATGAATTTCTGAAATGGAAGAATGTATGAGAATGAATGGGAATGAATGAATTGTGGCTGCAATGGATGCTTATTTATAGGTGAAAAGGAGGGAATATGACAGCTAGGAACTTGGTGGAAATCTGGAATGGTGATGGGAGATGCATGTGGCTGATTTATGCATGTGATTAAAGGGTAATGACAGCTAGGTTATGATGATGAATGCATGTGCAAAGTTGGTTGAATGATTATGGGTGCATGTGGCTGATTTATGGTGCAATGATGAAAGGCAAGGTGCATGTGGCTGATTTGTGAAGGGAATGCATGTGGAATGAATGTGTGAATGATGGCAGATTGTGTATGTGAATGATTAGGGTGAATGTGCATGTGCTTTGACAGCTAGGTTGAATAAATTAAAGGGAGTGCATGTGGCTTGGTTGGAATGATTGGAATGCAATCTGAAATGGGATGTGTTGGTGTGAATTTCTGGTACAAAGGGCCTCCTTTGGTCTTCAATTTCGTCCATCTACTTGGCTTCAAGTATATGCAATCCATTTAACGCCCCAAACTACTCCAAAATGCACCAAAATGCACCATTTTGCATACTTTGCCCTTAGAACCTGAAAACACACAAAAGAAGCATAAAGGACTAAAATAACTAAAGAAACATAACGTAAATGCACGAGAACAAGCCATTTAAGTCGCATGAATATGCTCCTATCAAGTACCCATATCCTTTCTCCGCCTGCCAATTGTGACACTACGTAGCACTTACAAGTCACAAACAAATGAACACATTGCAAAGATACGTCCAACATAATCAACGGTCTGTCTACAATTACAGTATGAACACGTATTCACTACGAATATTTGAAAATACCCACACTCGTTAAATCGTCATGATTTTGGCCCATTGAGTGGTATACTAGTACCACTCCCCGGGTCTATTGCACCATCTGAATGGTCACTTTTCACCATATGAGTTTGTACGCGAAAAAAGGGTAAGATCAATATTAGTTGGTTTTCTTAATTAAAAAGCTAGGGAGAAATCGAGAATGAGAGAGAGTATTTTTAGAGTGAGAAATAAAGAAAGAATATGCTCCGTGATTTCGAAATGAATGGTATAAATCCAGTATTTATAGTTTGTGAGTTGCTTAAAGATTAAGTTATTACTCCACTAATCATGAATTAACAATCTTAATGATGTATACTTAATTAGATCCTAATTACTAGAGTGAAGTCAAATACTAGCATAAACACAATTAAGGTAGCTAGTTCGAAATTATTCAATCAAAAATATGTGATATGTGGGATAAAATACCTGAATAAGAAGGAAAAGAATCCCCAAGAACAAAAGAACCGTGCCTAATGCCTGAACCACCGGGACAGCAAACTCGACTAGGGCGAGCTGCAAGTCGAACTCCATCAACGGCATCCGGTAATCGAACATGGCCAGGTGAGCCACAAGATCATGCAAATTCACCACCAAAATTAACAAGAAGGCTATAAGCATAAGGAGTAGGCCCGACTTGGGCTCGTTCGACAGCTGGGCCACGAACCCGAGGAGCAGCACCGCGGTGGCAAACACGTAGAGCCCCGCGTTCATGTACTCGGCCCGGTTCCGGCTCAGCCGCGAGCCGTACATTCGGAACTCCCTTGCCGACGCCAGCTTCACCATCGTGTAACAATATGTATCTGAGAAAATTAATGATTTTCTGTATGTTTATTGCGAACTAATAAAATTATGAAAAGGGCTTTACAGCTTTGTTCTCCTTTCTGGTTTCTCCGGCTTGAGCGATTCCCAAGTTATATATCCCTTGTTTCCTCGAGAACCCTTGGCTTCTCTGCGTCAGGGCAAGAACAAGACAGACCCTGCAAGTAATGAGAAAACAGAACTGGTACGTGGCTTCGTGCATGGGGGACGCTTGTGTTTGGGATTTTAATGGTGGGTTGACGACACGTGGCAGTTCGGGACTGAGCTTGAAACGACTCGAAGTTCTTCTGTGAATCATGGAAAATTTGATATGTTATAATAAATTCACCAAAAAAATCATGTTCTATAATCATAAGAGAATTTTGAATAATGCAAAAGTTTTAACAGTTTCTTCGAATATATCATCTGTTTACATGCTGAAATCGTGAAAGTTATTAATAATGGTACAGGGTTTTCCACTTGAAGGCTACTTCAGTTAAAATCTGAAAAAGATAGATCAATAGACAAATATGAAGATTTATTAACGTCTAATAAACATTGTCTAATACATCAAGTATTATAATTTAAATGGTTGAATTTTTTTTAATATTCAGCCACTTGTGTTAGGTTACACCAAATCAAATCGTCTTCTTGGCACATTAAAAATCACTCTAACGTACGGGACACTAAAATGAAATATTTATTTACATACAACACTTAGATATGTAAGTGCATTCTTAGCTAGAAGATGGGTACCTTGATTGGGAAGCATGCATTATAGACAAGCAAAATCTCACTTTTCTTTTTTGTCTTACTCGTTTGCCAAGCAAATAATTAAATTTCACATTTATTTTCAACAAACGATATTATTTAAATTAAGGTATAAGTCGGGTAGTGAGTGCGTTAAATTTTACAATGGACTAACAATAATATAGTTTAACTTCACATGTGACGAGAATCGAACCTAAGAATGCACTTAGGTATCCCAGTATTTCATAGGCATCCAAAAAATAGTGATCCCTTCCTTAAAAGAACCTGTATATACTAGCAAAAAGAGTTATATAGTGAAGATATGAACACCAACCATCATTTTGTTACATTCATAAACCGGGGGTCAAGGCTGATAGTATGCCGACGTCGTCACCTGCATTCATCTCTTTGCTCTCTCTGAAAACGTTGATGGCGGGAACATGGAAGCACAACCGATGGAAGCCAAACCTTGAACAATTCTCAACCCTGCATTACAAAACTACGAAAACCCAAGACCCCAACATAGTTTCCACCAACATTTGCATAACTCGCCACTGCAAAAGCGGGCAGCTAGATGTTGCCCGGAAAGTGTTCGACGAAATGCCAATCAGAACCGTCGTCTCATGGAACACCATGATTTCTGGATATTCAAAGTGGGGAGGATTCAGCGAGGCTCTATGGTTGGTCTCAGATATGCATCACGGCAATGTAAGGCTAAATGAGACGACTTTTTTGACAACTCTGAGCGCGTGCGCGCGTTCGGGATCTTTGAGTGAGGGAAGGGAGGTTCATTGCTTGGTTTTGAAATCTGGGTTAGAGTGCTTTGAGCTTTTGGGTAGTTCTCTGTTGTACTTTTACGCTAGTTGCCTTAAAATTGAGGATGCGAAGCGGGTTTTCGATGAGCTGCGCGGTGGAAATGAGTTGTTGTGGAGCTTATTGCTTGTGGGCTATGTGAAGTGTAATTTGATGAGTGAAGCTACGGAGTTGTTTGTGAATATGCCGAAGCGGGATGTTTTGGCATGGACTACGATGATTTCGTGGTACGCTAAGAGCGAGGATGGGTGTAAGAGAGCCTTGGAGCTGTTTAAATGGATGATGAGAGATCGGGTGGCGCCTAACGAGTTTACTTTGGATTGTGTTGTAAGGGCTAGTGGGAGATTAGGAGAACTGTGTGTAGGGAAGGCTGTGCATGGAATTTTGATCAAATATGGTTTTGAGTCCGATGAATCGATTGGTGGCGCATTACTAGAATTTTATTGTGTTTGTGGAGCTGTTCATTGTGCCAAGAGAGTTTATGATAGAATAGAAAGCCCGAGTTTAAATGCTTCGAATTCGCTTATTGGAGGTCTTGTGTTGATGGATAGGATTGAAGATGCAAAGCGAATTTTCAATAGACTAAAAGAAAAGGATTCAGTTTCGTATAACTTGATGATTAAAGGTTATGCAACGAGTGGTCAAGTCGATGAATCAGAGAGATTATTTGAGAGTATGCCTCATAGAACTATAATTTCTTCAAATACTATGATTTCTGTGTATTCTAGGAATGGTGATATCGATAAGGCTTCAAAGATTTTTGAAGAAACAAAAGAGGAAAGAAACCCTGTGACATGGAACGCCATGATGTCGGGTTACATTCAAAATCATCAGCATGAGGAGGCTTTGGAGTTATACGCAACAATGCACAAATTGTCAATAGGCCGTACAAGATCCACTTTCTCTGCTCTGTTTCATGCCTGTTCATGCCTTGGATCCCTTCAATCGGGACAAGCACTTCATGGTCATTTGATTAAAACACCATTTGAATCAAATGTGTATGTTGGGACATCCCTGATAGATATGTACTCCAAATGCGGAAACATCACCGATGCTGAAGCATCATTCATCTGCATTGGTTCACCCAATGTGGCAGCTTGGACAGCTCTCATTAACGGGTATGCGCAGTACGGGCTTGTCTCAAAGGCAATGTTGCTGTTTGAGAAAATGTTAAAGCAAGGAATCATTCCGAATGCTGCTACTTTTGTGGCAATTCTCTCTGCTTGCTGTCGTGCTGGTCTAGTCAACGAAGGGATGAGAATTTTCCACCTGATGGAAAAAAATTACGGAGTAAACCCTACACTTGAACACTATGCATGTGTAGTGGATCTTCTCGGTCGGTCTGGTTGTTTACAAGAAGCTATGGAGTTTATTCAAGAAATGCCAATTGAACCAGATGCGGTTATCTGGGGAGCTCTGCTAAATGCTTGTTGGTTCTGGATGGACATGGAACTGGGCGAGAGGGTGGCTGAGAAAATGTTAAGTTTGGATCCAAAACCAGCCTCCGCATACATACTCTTATCGAACATGTATGCAGTACTGGGAAAGTGGGGGGCGAAGATGAACGCGAGGAAGCGATTGAGAAACTTGGAGGTGAAAAAGGATCCTGGATGTAGTTGGATTGAGCTGAACAGGAAAGTTCATGTATTCTGTGTAGAAGATAAGTCCCATCCTCATTGTAATCTGATTTATGAAACTTTGGAGTATCTGACAGCAAATATATATAAACTTTAGCGTTCAATCTGATTGTGTTATTAGGTAACGAAAATCGGATTACCATCTTAAGAGTTAATATATCAGCTCTTTGTCGAATCTAATTACCGCTGTTACTTCTCTCTATGGCATACATCGGAAAAATTACGAATTGATACCGAGTAAGAAAATAAACTTCTTATTACTTATCCGCGATTTTATATACAAAATTGACACACTTCGTAAGTTCATAAGAAATTAACAGTTAAGAGCTCTGTTTTACAACACCCTACTTCTTTCACCACCCCCTCGGAGAGTTATTGAGTTAAACCGGTAACTGCTGTGAGAAACTGCGTTTTCAACTAGCTGCGAGTCTGCGACAGAATTATAAATGTGTTAAATCTCCACTAACATATACTTAACATATTAAACCTATTATTCTCAAGAAAATGGAAGCACTCTAAACCAACCTTGAGTATTCTTTTTCTTCAGTTTTTTCCGTTTTCTGTGTCACAAATCACAATCTGCAGCTGTATCGTCTTTTCATCGTTAACCTTATTCCCTTCAGGATCCCTTTTGTTTGGTAACTCCACTGTTCCCCCTTTCCTGTACTTGCAGTAGAGCACTAGTTGAAGGATGCTCAATGGGGTTCCGACCAGATTCGGAGACTGCAATTCAAGTTGAAAAATTCAAGTTAATCCTTTTCATACTTCCATTTTTTGTATCAGAACAACAATTAATAAGGTATAGAGTTAAAGAAAATTATACGAACCGCAACAAAGATATCGTGGCTGAGTAGTCCATAAGCCATCCAGAGGGAGCTAGAGATGAACGAGAAAAGAGACACGTAGAATGGCATGTATTCGACGCTCTTTGTTAGTATCACTTGCTTCTGCAATTATAAATGTTCGATTGTGAAGCTTAATTTTTTGTAACTGATAGATAGATTTTAATGTTGTTTGAAACAATGCGTAAGAAATTACTTACCAGGACCACCAGGGGAGAAGCATACATTGACACAGAGGCCACTATAGCGACGCTTCCGACAAATACTTTTCGATGTTGGTGGTCATGGAAAACAACGGCTGAGATAAAGGCGGTGATGCAGAACACCAGAATAGCAGGTATCACAATCGCAGTTACTTTTATCTGCAAGTCCACAGTATTCAACAGTCAACGCATATTACCTCACCTTATATTTTCATGCATCCCATGCAGATGTTGCATGGCACCAGAAACTTTTCTATGAAAACCAAAATATTGTGTCAATTAATTGAAACTTGCCTTCCCTTGTGCTGTAGAAAACCACAAATAGATGATGATGAACGATAACTCGAAAAGAATCCCTGTGCCGTTAATGGTGAAGAGCGGAACGTTTTCCCATTTGTTGCTTACAACTGGGAGTCCATACCAAGTGTAAAGGAGACAGTTGAACAGCGTAGTGATGTAAGGTACACACGAAAACCCCTCTGTGCCTTTCTTCCTTACGATTCTGGACATAGTCAATCTGCAGGAAACACCAATAGTATTATCAGTTACGATATTTGAGCTAGGTAGTAGAATAAAAATAAGAGTGTTTTCACAGTTGACATTACGTTGGAGCAGCGAAAAGCAGCAAAGCGGCAGCATTCCCTGCAACAAACAGTATACAAATTATGATATAACATTGGTAAGAAACCTTTCTGCTACATCAGTATGAGGTTTATGAACAATGTAGTTAGTATATATCGCTCACCCATCACTCCGATCACCAATCGCAACATCTTCGACGTTGATTTCTCCCTCGGCAATGATTTGTAGTAAAAGACAAGATTGGTATTCACTAAGGACTTAAGAATGTATAGCCTGAAGTGTTTGACCGATATGTACAGCCTGCTGGGAATGCATATATATATATACGAGTGAGTGAGATGAATAGTTAGAGAACAATAAAAAAATTAAAAGCAGAAGAAGTGCTCTGTGTTTTTTATAAACTTGTGGATTGACTTTGCATCTTAGATTTTGCCGTTCAGATTGAAGCTGCGCAGGAGCAACGCATGCATATATTCAAGATGGAAGACATGCAAAATACAAGTTGAGAAGTGTTAGCTGTTTTCACTGATGACGTGGCTTCCATTTAATCATGCTGCAGTAAGTTTAATTACTGTGAAATCCCACTTTTCTACTTCAAGTAACTTTTTAGTCCCTAATCAATCCAGGAGAGTGCATAAAGAACGGTAATTGCATTTAATCAAGGATTATCTTTTTATATGATCCTGCGGTATATACCGGAAAATCCACTCTCGGTAGAATTACGAAGATGAGAATGTGTGGGAGGATGATGAAAGAAAAAATCTAGACGAGTGATGGTATATAGAATTATAACTCCTTGTATTGATGTGTAGAATATTACAACATATATAAGGTCATATTAATCCTTACTGAGATAGGAATCCTATAATAATTATAGTTGAAAATTACATTCTTATACCACATTCTCCAATTACGAAGAGGATTTTAGATTAATTAAGTCTAATCTAACACTTCATTTCGTGTCTCATGATACTGATCTTTTGCTTGAAATAATACATTTTCTTATACATTCAGATTGAAAAACGAACGTCTAGAATTATTCACTTTTAGGAATGATTCGGCATCTATGTTTTGTTCCAAACTGAACTTGCACCATGGTTTTGTAAATAGATTCTACACGTGCTAGTGATTAGCATTATTAAACACACAAATGTTGTTTTCACTGGTGATGTGGTTTCCATTATTCATTGTACACAATTTATTCTGTATATTCCCGAATTTCCTAAACCCTACATTTAATTCCGGAAATCTTACTTTTCTACTTGAAACAACTCTCTGGTCCCTAGTTTGAGGAGAGAACAAAAAGGAAAGCCATTGTATGCCTTTGCTCATGGAGGAATATTGTCTGCCCTCTGTTTGGATGTCCTTCTCATTCCTTTCTATTTTGTGTGGTTATGGTTAAGTCACGTCAACATTTTATATTGATTTTTTTTATAAAGATAATAAGACATAAAACAATAAGAATATAAAATATTAACGTGGTTTAACCGTAACCGCACAAATAGGAGGGGATGAGAAGGGCACCCAAATAGAAGGGTAGACAACCTGACTCCCTGTTCTATGTTATCCACTTTTATCTAGTTGATCAGAAAAATTGTTAACTTGGCTGATGTGGAATCGATGTTTTGCTCGAAACATTGTTTTTGTTTTGTATTTTTTATTTTTTTTTTCTCTAGTTCTACAACAACAAAGTTCATATTTTTCTAACTTGACGTAATGAGGTAACTTGAGACTCAGAATGAAAACACATAAAGCAAAGCCACAGAATTGCAAATTCAGAAGGAAAAGTGAGATTTTCATCAAGCATAATGCTGTTTACACACTCATTATTACCTCTCACACGCTCTTGTTAATTTTTGTCTATTGATCTTCTTAAATACATTTGATCCAACGATTAAAACTTAAAAAAAATGTGTATGAGATAAAATGAGTGTATGAATATCATATCATCACCCTTCATCAAAGGGGGCATATAAACGGAAAAGCCTTTAATAACAAGGAAGTTTCATGAATATTTGCTTTTTTAAAACAAACTAATTGGCTTTGGTTTTGTGATGATGGAAGGAAACCATTAGCAATATATTATTTGAGTGGAGCTTTTTTGGTTTGGTCAAACCATTTTGAGTGGAGCTTGATCAAGGTCATGAGCTGCGCATCCTATTCGACTGTCGTCCATTCACATTTTTGAATAATATATTTCCAGAACAAAACATGGGGCTTCAATTCTGTGATCTTATTGCCAAAGATGTAATAATTTGTAGTTTTCCAGAATAGGGTAATACTTTCATGGAATTGGCCGCAGAAACGATGGACCCAAAATTCATCATAGCTTTGAAAGTTTTCACCAAAACTCAGCAAAACATTTTTCTCCAGCAATGTAATCATTTATTTTTCTTTTTTCTTTTTCTTTTTTTTGTTAAAAAACCTCGTACCCCTGAAGTTTCTTAAATAAAAAAAATAGAAAGTTTCTACCAAAAAGTGCTAAGAGCTCTATCACGTGCCTTTTCATTGTATAACCTCACATTTAAAATTTGACCCTAGGAAAATTTCATTTTCAAGTTCCACAAAGAGAAATTTGAAAACAATATATACCAGACAAACTTTCAAACGGTTCTCAGTTCTTCATGTATATAGAAATATGACTCCGTGTAATATTTTTTTTTTTTTTTGAATAAAAACGATAGCTTTATTGATAACAAACTCATCAAGAGAGCAAATCATAAACCCTATATAAATATCCTTATTGGGTAATATTGCTAAGAAAACTAAATTTCTAGAGAAAATTTGTAAATTAAATGATGTGTCACCAATTGGCATGAGCACGTTCATCAACGTTTAAGTCATAATCTAATCATCAACTTATATATCATTTAGTTTACAAAATTTTGTCTATAAATTTAGTTTTTCTAGCACTACCCATCCCTATTTAGATAGGTATCGTACATTAGTGCTAATTGAAAATTACATTCCTATAATACATGCAATAATTATGGAGATAATTTTGAATTAATTTCATTTAATTTGACAATTTCAATAATCTATTAATATCTTTTGCTTTTCATTTTCAAGTTGATAAATGTTAGTGCTAATAAGTAGGTAGGCAGACAAACAATGAACCATGCACAGTAAAAAGAATGACAAATAAAAAATAAAACGAATCCGAGTGCATATAATAAGAAAATTCTTACCGAGTTGCCGCCTGTTTTGGAAGGTTCACGACAGATATCCTGCCTTAACACCTTCACCATGTAATATTATGTTCCCTGGGCCAGTAGTCTATACGATCTTCCTTTTTGTTTGCCAAAAGGTTAATTTGTAACTTAATTATTTAATCACAACAAATCAAAGTAAAGTAAGCCTACTGTATATACATGGTTTTGTTTAAACTTATTAAAAACGTTGTCATCCAGCTCAAGAATAAATTCGGAAGTCAAAAATCTTCACTCAAAGATGATGATGATGATGTGTCATTGTGTTGTGTTTGAGTCATTCTTCCATCAGTTGGTGAAGTTGTGTTTGAGTCATTCTTCTCATCATTTGGTGAACCTTGTTTTCTTTTTTTCATGCTTCCATTCATTGTCTTCTTTCGAATACGGGGAACAAAATGAAACTAAAAAACAAAAAACTGAAAACAAATTCAAATTATTTTTATTGTTAACTCCTTGTTTTTATGTATTATCTTGTATTTTTCCCTCTTAAGATCTTACCCTATCACCTCCCTTCCCACTTCTTCATTCTCCATGGTTTATATATATATATATATATATATATATATATATATATATATATATATATTTACGAAAAATTCTATTTCAATCCTTAAAGAAGATTACTTTTGAATAAAATCTTGTCTGAGATTAAAAATTAACTATAGTCCTTGGTATTTAATTGTAATTTTCAAACATTAATTAGGCTGTAATAATTACTGAATTCTTTATGTAGGTTATATATTGATTCTCTTAAACAATAAAAATCTTAGGAGAAGTGCCGATTTAGTCTCTGGATTATCATCTTAGTGAAAATTAGGTCCCTAAATTATTATTTTTTTTTAAATAAGTCCCTAAATTCATTAAAAATTGCTAATTTCATCTCTACTATTATATTTAAAGCTATTTTATCCAATTTTTCGTCAACTTAAGTTATTTGACACACTTTCAAGTGTAATATCGTCATTTTTTTCACCTATAGGTCCTTACATTTTATATAGGTTGTGAATCTAATGTCTAATTTACCCTCTAAAGTTAATTCCATACACTATTTCTTTATGAAAAATTATCAATCTACCTTCCAATGTGTATTATCACATCCCGGCCCGGGGGGATCACTTCCCGGGCCCGCTCCACCACCGTAGCACGATATTGTCCGCTTTAGGCCCTGACCACGCCCTCACGGTTTTGTTTCTGGGAACTCAGACGAGAACTTCCCGATGGGTCACCCATCCTAGGAGTGCTCTCGTGCGCTACTCGCTTAACTTCGGAGTTCTCATGGAACTTGAAACCAGTGAGCTCCCAAAAGGCCTCGTGCTATGTAGGGATGAGAATATACATATAAGGATCACTCCCCTGGGCGATGTGGGATGTCACAATCCACCCCCCTTAGGGGCCCGACGTTCTCGTCGGCACACCACGGCCAGGGTTAGGCTCTGATACCAATTTGTCACATCCCGACCCGGGGGGATCACTTCCCGGGCCTACTCCACCATTGTAGCACGATATTGTCCGCTTTGGGTCCTGACCACGCCCTCATGGTTTTGTTTCTGGGAACTCACACGAGAATTTCCCGATGGGTCACCCATCCTGGGAGTGCTCTCGTGTGCTACTCGCTTAACTTCGGAATTCCCATAGAACCCGAAGCCAGTGAGCTCCCAAAAGGCCGTCACATATATCACATGCAAGTAACGTGACTTGAATTGATGAACAATTGAATATAGTATACTCGAATCTAATATTAGGGATGTAATTGGCAGATTTTTATAATTTAATGACTGATTGTTCTAAAAAATAGTTTAGAGATTTAATTTTCACTTGGATGATAATTCAGGAACTAAATAAACAATTCAACCAAAATCTTATATATCATTGATAATTCATTAAATTTTCATAATAAGAAATCCATAAATTGTCATCTATTGTGTGCAAATTATTCCATATATATATATATATATGTGCTTACCTATTTATGCTTAGATACTATAGCTACGAACCGATACATTCATACCAAAACTTATGTACCTACATATTTATACCAAAACTTAGGTACATTTGTATATCGAAACTTATGTACCTATATATGTGTACCGAAACTTGTGTACCAATACTTCTGTACCTATGAGTTTTTTAAAATATAAATTGTTTTCGTTTTGTTGTTGACTTTCTTTTAATTATAAGAATCTGAATTATGAATAAATTGTTTTATGTATTAATATAATTGGAGCACACAAAAAATACATTAATTATAGATGAGTGGAGATTTTCATATGTTAAGTTTATAAATAATAAATGTGCTATAATTACTTAAAGACGGTAAATTTTAAAAATAAGAACTTAAAATAGATTTCAAAAACCATTCAAATTAAAAACTAAAAAAAAAAAAACTTATTTAAGTCCTAAAATCTAATAAACAAAAATATTTTTTGGCAAGACTATATTAGTCCTAAATTCTTAAATATTAGAGAAATTTCGAAATAATTGTCTAACCATAAAGGCAGCTCTCACATCAATATTCAAGTTTTTGGAAAAAGTAATATAGGTAACATTGTGAGACAACTCCACTCAAGCTTTTCTCCTGAGATATGCCAATGAAAACACTCATAAATGATAATTTATCTTTAACTGGAGGCAAATGCTATAACCTAGAACCTGAATTTGGATCCTCACCGAACTTTATTGTTCAAAGTCTAAAGAATAGAAAATTTGAATTTTGGTTTATGTGAAAAAGTGATCAAAACTCTTGGTTTGTGTGATGAGGTAGGTTAGCGAAATGGGTTAATGGAGACTGACAGATTCAATTTAAGCGGTCCAGATTACCTGATCCTAAGGCTCCGAACAGTGAGACCTGGAGTGAATCTATGTCCCCTCGCTTGATACCAAGTAGTAGTAGTAGTAGTAGTAGTAGTAGTAGTAGTAATGGCGCATGTTCTAGGATTGAAATAGAAAGGCATTTTGTCTTGGAATGAGGATCCTCGCCGGATCCTCAAATCACATCCGTACATTACATTGTGTGGTCATAAATCATTGTAAATTTTTTTTATTTAAAATTGAATATAAATAGTACTTGACAAAAACTAACCGCACGATGTATGATAAACGGATGCGATTGGAGAATCCCTCGGATCCTCACAAAGCGGATCCGGTCAGGATCCTTTCTCTTTGTCTTGGTTCAAGCTATGGTAATGTATGCAGAGTATTTTGCATTTACATATTTGTACTGGGTGATGCTAGACAAATTATTTATTTAGACTAAATTTTGTAAATTAATTATATGATGTGATGGTTGATGTTTGAATTATTACTGAAATGTTGATTAACATGTTAATTTTTTCATTGGCAACACATATCACGTAATTTACAAATTTAATCTAAAATTTTAATTTACCTATCATTACTCATTTGTACAAGCTATAGTATCAAGGCATAATTCCTCTATCCAGTGGGACAGACAATGAATTATTGAAGAAGATGATAAAATACATGCATGTGACCCAAACAACATAATGAAGAAGAAGAAGAATCGTTCAAATGCTGACCACCATGTACTTACTACGTATGCTACGCACCTTCCGTACCAAGACTTCAAATTGTCTATAATGATGATATACAGGCTGGTATATTACCGAGTCAATGTTACTATCATAGATTAGTATGATTTGGTACATAAAATAACTTTTATGTTACGAGTGCAACGCAAATACAATTGAGTATTTAAATCAGAAATGGGTGAAGCGGACCAAATGGAGCTCTCAACTAACCGAATCAAACCAAGTGTTCTTGAACTAGTTCAATTTAGTTAGATTTACATGGTGTCCAAAATCAAATCAAACCAAACTAAATCGACATATTTTATAATTAACTTTTTTTTTTATTTCAATTAGGAAAATCAGATTGAATCAAACCGTGCATGTCTACCCCACTTACAAGTCAGATCATGAAAATTCCTATCCGAAACAAGGGAACAAGATTTGTCACCCATGCGTACTGGAATTATTTCTATCCGTCACTTTTTTATCTAAATTTGGTCAAATTGTTTCACCTATAAAGAAAGTTGAGATTCTATCGTAAAATTACTTGACAATATGGAGAGTAGCTAACTATTTATAAGCACATACAAAGATCATAATCTCATCAATGTTATATTCATTCTCAACAACTTAAAATAATTTTGTCAAATTGTGCAGATCACCCACGTGACAATATATATTACTGTCAACGGATAGTGCAATGCAAAAAAGGTATTAATTATACATATGTATAGTTAAAATTACGATTTTCTTTCAAATGTAGTATAAAAGTTATACGTAAAATTTACATACACGAGCAAATTCAACGTTTTAGGCCATAAAATGACATTTTAACTACGTATATAAGCCTCAAGTGTAATTTTTGGACAAAAATTATAATTTTGAGTAATGGTAAGAGAAGCGACTTGATGAAAAAAGTGTTGAGAGAAAAGAATAAGGATTCTATCTTCTTGGTGAGGATCATGGGGATCCACGTATCTTGTCCGTTTATCGTACATCGTGCGGTTAGAAATTATTTTAAATTTTATTATTTAAAATTGAATACAAATAATACCTGAGAAAAACTGATAACACGATATACGATGAACGGACGCCATTCATGGATCCTCGAACTCCTCACAAAGAGGATCCGGATTCGAGAGAAAATACTGTACTGTTTGATTCCTTCCATGCATATGCTAACAAAGGTTAAGAGATGAATGAACCTTTTAGGGAAAGCAGTTATAGCTAAGCAACAGCTATAGCTTTTGCCTATTGCCATTTCTTCTTTCTTCCTCCCTTCTGCACTCTCTAATGTCAACTACAAGTCTACAACCACAAGGCCTACTAGTCAACAAACAAACATACTCTCACGTAAACACGCTTTGTTGTTGTTGATTGTTGGGCAGCTTAAGCTTGTATTTTTAATATACATACATACATACATACATACATACATACATACATACATACATACATACAATACATTTCTCCCCTTCTTCATTCGTTCATTCCTTCTCCTCCCAAACATTTGCTCTCTTGTTTTTAGTGTAAGAATCAATGGAAAGCATGGACCGATGTCACCAGAAGCGACCCAAAATCACCATTACTGATCAGTCTGAAGGTCTGTGTGCATTCATTCCTTCCCAACTAACTTTTACTCAACAGTTAAGTCTGAGTTCTTAATAAACTTAATTTTCTATATTTATTTGGGCAGAGGTTATTAGTAATGAATGGAAATTCATAAACATAACTGAACAAGAAGAAGATCTCATATATAGAATGTATAGGCTTGTTGGACCCAGGTACGTTGTTTTTTTACAAATCAAAATCCATATGTTTTTCTATTTAATTTTGCACCTAGTAATACTAATATAAATGTTTTAAATGTTTAGAACTTAGTTTAAGTGTTTTATTCCTTATATTTGTTTTTATAAAATAATTCGTTTATGATTCAGATTAGTACATAGACTTATTTTATTAGTCGCAAGAATCGAAAGATGAATTGAAGTCCTGCAAATAGAAGTGTAGTGTCACCAAGTTCGCCGGAGTGTTTAGGCCTCCTTTACACTCAAGCTCGGCGGCTCTCCTATATAAAATATAGAGCATTGCTCGAATAATTAAAATAAGAATGAACGTGTGTGTTTGAATATTTAATAAATACATGGTAATAGTAGCCTTTCCCACCCAAAATTTTCCTTTTCTATTTTATCTCTAACCCTCTCACAGCAAAAGCCTGAAAGCTGGTTAACTGTAAAAAGTACAAGTAAGAAACAAAATGCACTTTGTATCCACTACTAAAACCGGATCCTCTCCGGATCCTTTTGGTGAAGATCTTAGGGATCGGTAAATTATATTCGTTTATCGTATATTTTACGGTCAGTTTTTATCAAGTATTGTTTGTATTTAATTTTAAATAAAAATATTTAAAATAATATCTGATCGCACGATATACGATAAACGGATATAATTGACGAATTTCTGAATCCTCACAAAGAGAATCGGACGATGATTCGGAGGATCCGGATTCCTATAAAAGTCTACAACACAAAGCCATGTGATTATTCAATTCCAAATAAACACACACCATCTGAGATTTTCTTTAACGAGTGAGAAAACAAAGAATAGACTTCTGGTACTCGCACTCTGAAGTTGTAAACTTTGTCTTTTCTACTGTCTGGTCTGTAAAAATTGCTGCTCCTAAAGATTATTGTACTCTGAAAATCACAACTGCCTCCACGGCTGTACCCTAGATATTTCCCTTGTCCAACAGTCAAATTTGGCTTTGAATCCATATATACAGTTGTTGAATAAGAAGAGTATCCAAGATAACTCTAATGATCCCAAGAAGAAGAAAATAGAACACACTCTTAAAGAAAGCTCACAAAACAAACTAATTAGCAAAGCTTTTCTTATTTAGCTCTAGGCTTTGTTTTTCCTTGGATGATTTACAATGCTTGAGAACTTGGGTATTTATAGCAAACCAAATGAATAAACTAAGATTATTTATTACCACACAAAACACATTAATTTCACCTAATTTATTTTTATTCAACCATGCCTAACATTGCCTAATTTTCCATACCTAACTTTGACATTGATTTTCAACATCTTTGACATTGATTTTCAACACTCCCCCTCAATGTCAGCTCTCATTCTTTGCACTGTGCTGAGCAGACAGCGAAAATTTTTGAGCTTCCCTGTACTCAAACTTTTTGTGAACAAGTCCGCAACTTGATCATTTGTCTTGACCTGTCTCATCTCAATCTCTTCTTGCAGAACCTTTTCTCTGATAAAGTGGTAATGTACCTCCACATGCTTAGTTCTTGCATGAAAGACTGGATTTTCCGCCAAGCGAATTGCCGATTGGTTATCACAGTACAATGGTACTGGATAATCTACTGGTTGATGTAGATCACTCATCAACTGTATTAGCCATGCATTCTCTTGAGCTGCCATTGCTGCTGCTCTATACTCTGCTTCAGTGGTTGACAATGATACCGTCGGCTGTCTCTTGCTACACCAAGAGATGGTTCCAGAACCAAGCTTAAACACATACCCAGTTGTTGATCTCCTGGTGTCATGATCTCCCGCATAGTCAACATCACAGTAACCAACTAACTTGCAGTCTTCACCTTTCTTGTACAAAAGACCATAGTCAATTGTACTCTTCACATATCTTAGTATTCGTCGAACTGCTTCCAAGTGAGGCTTCTTTGGATTTTGCATGTATCGACTCATCACACCAACTGCATAAGAAATGTCAGGTCGAGTCAAGGTTAAGTAGATCACACTACCTACCAATTGTCGATACATCGTCGCATCTTCCAAATCTTTTCCTTCATGTGCACTCATTTTGACATTTGGCTCCATCGGCGTAGAGATCAGCTTGCATTCGAGCATTCCGAACTTCTTCAATAAATCTTTGGAATACTTCTGTTGACAGAGAAATATTCCTTCTTGTGTGCGATCAACCTCTAGACCAAGGAAGTGCTTGAGTTGACCAAGTTCCTTCATCTGGAAACGGACTGATAAATTCTCCTTCGTCCGAAGAATTTCTGCCTCATCATCACCGGTTATGATCAAGTCATCCACATACACTAGCACGATAGCTAGCTTTCCTTCATTGGCTTTGACAAACAAGCTGGAATCTGCAGGTGTTACTGAATAACCACTTTGTGTTAGAAATTCAGCAATCTTACCATACCACGCCCTGGGTGCTTGTTTCAATCCGTAGAGTGCTTTCCGCAGTTTACACACATATTCAGGATGATCTTGGTTCTGAAATCCCATTGGTTGGATCATGTAGATCTCCCGATCCAGCTCTCCATGAAGAAAAGCATTCTTCACATCCATCTGCCACAGATTCCAGTCTTTGTTGGCTGCAAGTGCAAGTAAGACTCGTACTGTTGTAAGCTTCGCCACTGGACTAAACGTTTCATCATAGTCTAGTCCGTACTGTTGAGAGAAACCACGAGCTACCAATCGTGCCTTGTACCTCTCGATTGACCCATCTGGACGACGCTTTATCTTGTAAACCCACTTGCAGGATATGGGTTTCACATCTCTTGACTTTGGCACGAGATCCCAAGTCTGATTTTGCTGAAGTGCATCAAGCTCTTCTTTCATAGCTGTCATCCACTCAGAACTCTGCGATGCTTCTTCGAACGTCTCAGGTTCTGTTGCTTCTTCAATTATGGCTGCATTGGCATATTTGGGATTTGGTCTCCGTGCTCTTGTTGACCTTCGGAGTTGAGATTGTGGAGTTGATTCTTCCGGTACACTAGGCCCACCTTCTTCGTCTGGTTGTTGATACATGCCAGTTTGCCAAGTACTCTTAGGTACTTCTTGGTCGACATCGTCTCCAGTAAGCAAATCTTCAGGCTCATCTGGACTTGATTGGATTTGGGCAGCTTGGTCTCCCAGTTTCCCTTGCAACGTATCTTCAAACTCTTTTGGGTCAGGTGACGCCTCATTTTCTAAGCACCAAGATGATGCTTCTGCGTCCCATTCTTCCTCCATAGCTAGAGACGCAACGACATCCCAATCATCTTCAATTTCATTTTCTGAGCACCAACAAGATGATGCTTCTGCGTCCCATTCTTCCTCCACAGCTAGAGACGCAACGACATCCCAATCATCTTCAATTTCATTTTCTGAGCACCAACAAGATGATGCTTCTGCGTCCCATTCTTTCTCCGTAGCGAATAATGCTTCAGCATCCCAGCCATCTTCACTATTCTCCTTCGAACTGGAAGTAGCAATATTACTTTCAACAGGCTCTTTCTTGGTCCAACAATCTTTCGCCATGTGGCCATTCTTTCCACAATTATAACACTTGCCCTCAAATCTTTTATTATTCTGGGACTGATCACGGTTGCCGTAATACTTCGGAGCTCCTCTTGGCCGAGAACTCCCTCCTCTTTGATGACCTTTTTCCTTGTCACCATTTCTTTTAGATCCACCACCAGCACGCTGCTTAAAACTGCCTTTGCTTTTGTTGGTGTAGAGCGCTTCCTCTTCACTCTTCAGTGAGACTCCTCCCATTTGCTTGGCCATAGCTTCTTGACTTGCAAGCAAATTTTCAAACTCAACAAGCGATGGTTGTGTCGGCCATCCTTGTATAGCGGCAATGAACCCTCGATATTCGGGTCTCAAACCATGGATAATTATTCTCTTCATCCTGGTTTCCCCAATAGGAGCTGTTGGATCTAATTCTGAAATTTCGCGGCATATCGACTTCACCTTGTGAAAGTACTGGGCAATCGTCATGTCCCGTTGTACCATTGATAGCAACTCATTCTCGAGAAGTTGCAATTTTGTATCGTTCCTCTTCGAAAAGAGTGTAACAAAAGTGTCCCATGCTTCCTTTGGCGTTCTAGCATCCCGAATGTGCTCCAACATTTCTTCTTCTATTGTGGTCTTTAAAACAAACATTGATTTGCCTGCTTTAATTTTCCACTTCCGCAAGACGCCGTTAGCATCTTCCGCTGCCGGTTGTGTAGCTTCACTACCACCGACAACCTCCCACAAGTCTTGACCTTGAAGGTAAGACTCTATACACGTTGCCCACGTGTTATAGTTTTGGTTGTTGAGCTTCTTGATTCCTCCAACAACTTGAAGATCACCCATCGTATCGGCAAGACTTTGACTACACCGAACAAGCTTGAGTGACTACCGTGCAGAGTAATACACTACTCTCGACACAAAGAAGCTCCCTCTCAAGGTTTGTGATAACCCCAGCAATAATCTCAAGAAACCTTTTCTGATGTGGAAGATCAGTCAAAACTGCAACCACAGAGCATACTCGGAATTTCAAGAGACTTTACAACCAATGCTCTACCAAGACCGATCCCTGACCGACTTGGCTCTGATACCAATTGTTGAATAAGAAGAGTATCCAAGATAACTCTAATGATCCCAAGAAGAAGAAAATAGAACACACTCTTAAAGAAAGCTCACAAAACAAACTAATTAGCAAAGCTTTTCTTATTTAGCTCTAGGCTTTGTTTTTCCTTGGATGATTTACAATGCTTGAGAACTTGGGTATTTATAGCAAACCAAATGAATAAACTAAGATTATTTATTACCACACAAAACACATTAATTTCACCTAATTTATTTTTATTCAACCATGCCTAACATTGCCTAATTTTCCATACCTAACTTTGACATTGATTTTCAACATCTTTGACATTGATTTTCAACAACAGTATCCTCAAACCCCTTCTTTCGAAAGCACTTCTGCTTATAAGTATTTTTGTTAAAATATTAGAAACAAGTTATATTTTTTGGGAGTTTAAACAAAATACTTATGGTATTGTTCACTTTTAACGTTAAGAACATTTTTACTCTAAAAAGTCACTCCTAATACTATTCACTTACAACACATTTTTATCATTTTGGTTAAAATTCAGAGTATTCAATCATTTTTCATTAGTTTTTTTTTTCTTTTTTTAAACTAAAAAACGTAAGTGCTTCTACAGGAAGTGGAAGCGCTTATGGTTGACAGAATGGACTTCGATCTATGATCTAGAAGCATTTTCAAGTTTTATTGTCAAACTAGTTAAAAGTGTTTTGGTAGGCGTAAAGCGCTTGTAGTATTTCCAGAAGCAATTCCAACCAGACTGCAAAATCAGGGTCTTACATGAATAATAGTAAATATTGTCTTGCGGTATTTGCATCACCGTGTTTTGGTATAAGAATGATCAGAAAATTTTCTTCTTCTTTTTACTTGGTTTCAGGTGGGATTTAATAGCTGGGCGGATTCCAGGTCGAAAAGCAGAAGTACTAGAGAGGTTCTGGATCATGAGACATTGTGATGCGTTTGCTGAAAAACGAATTCAACATAAGATAGAGGGCTCTAATATTGATCGTCGTCAAATGTTTAATGGATTTAAGTAGTAGTCTCCCTTTTCGATTGTTTTCTGTGCCTATCTATTATTGTGTAGTAAATCAGTTCTTGCAGTTCTCTCTCTCTTTAGATAAACTGTAATGAGGGAAAAGAAAAGGTAAATATATGGCAAGGTAAATTTCAAGTTGTCGCGGCGGCGGGGTGAGATAACAACACACAGTTCTTGTAATACTTATGCGTAAATCGGAATAAAATAATTGCACATTTCATCATACAAAAGGGTGAAAATATTACATTTCATATACACTACTACAAAAGGGCCTTATAGTGTCAGTAGGTGATGTCGGTTTAATATAATATAGTGTCGGACTAGACAATTGCGACACTCATTGAACATGACGTCGGGTTCACTGTCACTTATAAGCGTCATAAACATTTAATGTCACTTTTAAACCGACGTAAATATTTAATCTCGCTTAAAACCGACATACATTTTAATAATTTTTAAATACTAGTGTCGCTTTAAATAATACAGTGTCGCTTTTAAGCGACATTAAATAATACAATGTCGCTTTAAATAATATAGTGTCGCTTTTAATAAAACAGTGTCGGGTTTAACAATATTAAATATAACATGAACTTATAATATTTAGTAATATAAGAATATATTATGTTAAATTAATAATTAGAATTTATTTATACTTTCATTAAGTATAACATAAGGTTTTGTGGTATCCACTAGTGTAAATATTTTAAAATGAATATCGAGTTCATTCATTATATTCATATAGGGTCAAGGAGTGTAGCTATAAAAAATCATCTAAATTGGAGTTACAATAACCGTTAAATTGTGATTTTTCATTTATAACCGTTGAAAAGTTTTGTCCCGTTACTTAATCTATGACTGTTTGTTTTTTGCCATTTTTGGCGTATGTGATCTCGAAGCATATATAAACAAGTTTGATGGTTGAATCGTTGAAATTAGTTTTGTAGAATGCGTATCCCATCAAAACGATAGATTCACTAATACTTAAAATTTATTTATACTTTTATTAATTATAACATAAGATTTTGTGGTATCTACTGGTGTAAATATTTTAAATTGAAGATTGAATTCATTCATTGTATTCATACAGGGTCAAGGAGTGTAGCTGTAAAAAATCATCTAAATCGAAGTTAAATTAACCGTTAAATTGTGATTTTTCGTTTATAACCGTCGAAAAGTTTTGTCTCGTTAATTGATCTCTGAATGTTTGTTTTTTGCCATTTTTGGCGTATGCGATCTCGAAGCATGTATAAACAAGTTTGATGGTTGGATCGTTTAAAGTAATTTCATAGAATGCGTATCCCATCAAAACGATTGATTCACTAATGCTAAGAATTTATTTATACTTTTATTAAATATAACATAAGATTTTTTGGTATCCACTAGTGTAAATATTTTAAATTGAAGATCGAATTCATTCATTGTATTCATATAGGGTCAAGGAGTGTAGCTGTAAAAAATCATCTAAATTGGAGTTAAAATAATCGTTAAATTGTGATTTTTCATTTATAACCGTCGAAAAGTTTTGTCTCGTTACTTGATCTTTGAATGTTTGTATTTTGCCATTTTTGGCATATGCGATCTCGAAGCATGAATAAACAAGTTTGATGGTTGGATCGTTGAAATTAGTTTCGTAGAATGTGTATCCCATCAAAACGATAGATTCACTAACACTTAAAATTTACTTATATTTTCATTAAGTATAACATAAGATTTTGTGGTATCCACTAGTGTAAATTTTAAATTGAAGATCGAGTTCATTCATTGTATTCATATATGGTTAAGGAGTGTAGCTATAAAAAATCATCAAAATTGGAGTTCAAATCACCGTGAAATCGTGATTTTTCGTTGATAATCGTCGAAAAGTTTTGTCCCGTTACTTGATCTTTGAATGTTTGTTTTTTGCCATTTTTGGTGTATATGATCTCGAAGTATGTATAAACAAGTTTGATGGTTCGATCATTGAAATTAGTTTCGTAGAATGCGTATCTCATTAAAACGATAGATTCACTAACACTTAGAATTTATTTATACTTCTATTAAGTATAACATAAGATTTTGTGATATCCACTAGTGTAAATATTTTAAATTGAAGATCGAATTCATTCATTGTATTCATATAGGGTCAAGGAGTGTATCTGTAAAAAATCATTTAAATCAGAGTTAAAATAACCATTAACTTGTGATTTTTTGTTTATAACCGTCGAAAGGTTTTGTCTCATTACTTGATCTCTGAATGTTTGTTTTTTGCCATTTTTGGCGTATGCTATCTCAAAGCATGTATAAACAAAATTTGATGGTTGGATCGTTGAAATTAGTTTCATAGAATGTGTATCCCATCAAAATGATAGATTCACTAACACTTAGAATTTATTTATACTTTTATGAAGTATAACATAAGATTTTGTGGTGTCCACTAGTGTAAATATTTTAAATTGAAGATCGAACTCATTCATTGTATTCATATAAGGTCAAGGAGTGTAGCTATAAAAAATGATCAAAATCTTAAAATCACCGTTAAATCGTGATTTTTTGTTTACAACCGTTTAAAAGTTTTGTCCTGTTATTTAATCTTTGAATGGTTGTTTTTTGCGATTTTTAGAGTATGCGATCTCGAAGCATATGGAAACAAGTTTGATGGTTGGAACGTTGAAATTAGTTTCGAAGGATGCGTATCCTATCAAAACGATAGATTTACTAACACTTAGAGTTTATTTGTACTTCCATTAAGTATAACATAAGATTTTGTGGTATCCACTAATGTAAATATTTTAAATTGAAGATCGAATTCATTCATTGTCTTCATATAGGATCAAGGAGTGTAGCTATAAAAAATAATCAAAATCGGAGTTAAAATAACTATTAAATCGTGATTTTTCGTTTTATAACCGTCGAAAAGTTTTGTCTTGTTACTTGATTATGTATTTTAAATATCAATTAGACTATGTTTTTAAATATATTAATTATTTTATGTATTTTAAATATCAATTAGACTACGTTTCAATTCATGTGTGATGATATTTTATCATAAAATTATATTATTGTTTTTTATTATGTATTAAATATTATTTATTAAAATATTCTATGACATAACTTGAAATATTTTCGGCGGGAATGAATGTTTGAAATATTTTAGTGTGTCAGACCTTGCATTGGTTTTAACCGACACAACCTCTACTTATTTCGACGCAAGCTTTGAAATATTTTAGTGTGTCAGACCTTGCGTCGGTTTTAACCAACGCAACCTTTTCTTACTTCGACGCAACCTTTTCTTATTTCGACGCCAGTTGCACTGTCAAGTCTATCACACTTATGTCGGTTTTAACTGACGCAATATGTTACTATTTCGACGCCACTTGCTTTTCAGTCAAGTTTGTCAGATGTGGTGCCGGTTTCAGCCGACGCAAAGTCCAAATATTTCGACCATATTTATACCCTTTTCTTCCCCATTACTTCCATGCTTTCGTTTCCCTCTCTCGGTTACTTCTTTGGTTTTGCCCCGTCTTCTTCTCCCATTTCAACCGTACTCCTTCTCCTTTCCACTAACTTTTGCTATGGATCAACAAGGTGAAGATAAAGGTTTTGAGGAACTTCATTTCGAGGAGGAAAAGTTCGAAGGTGGTTCATTTGTGAATTATTATTAATTTTTTGTTTTGTGTTTAAACTAGTATTAGGCTTAAACTGAAAATTTACTTTTGTTTCTTGGTTGTTAATTGTTTTTTTGTGTTAATAAGGAACATCTCGACGAAGGCGTGGACCCTCAGTTCCCAAATGGACAAAACAACTTTGCTCGTTTGATTCGTTTGGAAAATGCGTTAGTGATAACTCTAGTGCTTTTTCAAGATATGTAGCAGGGGAGGTTAGAGATTATAGAAATCTCCCGTTGATGATTGATTGCATGAGATTAAGGAAGAAGAAAATGAAGTTTTTCTGGAATAGAATAAAGGAATAAGATTAATCGGCTGTTAAAGGCAATGAACCATACAACTGGTTCAAAATCTTTTGCAAGAGTGTGGCAAGAATTTGTATGAGTTGTACATTTTTAAGATATTTGTATGTTTTGTATTAGTTTTTGTATATTATGTGGAATATTTGTATATTTGACACTATTTTTATTGTTAATAATTTTTATTAAGGTTTGTTTTGGCCTTTACATGAAACCTATTAATTTGGTTATATAATTTTTTATTAGTACCAATTAATTGAAAACAAATGCAGATTCTCGTATTTTTTATTATTATTAACAAAAATGGTGTCTATTAAGACCGTTACTAGTTTAAATATTTTATTTATTTAATTGTTATCTGACGTCGATTTAGGTATATTTTATTTATTTAATTTTATCACAATGTCGATTAAAACCGACAGTAGGGTGGATATATTATAATTAAATTGCTAATGAATGTCGCTTTAAACCGACGTAATGTTCAAGTATACGTCGTTTTAAATCGATGTTAATGTCAGTGTCGCTTTTAACCGATGTTGCGTAGTGGCGGATTAAGCGAACAAACCGACACTGAAGGCCTTTCATGACGCTAGCATTAGTGTCGCTATTCTAATCTGACATTACATTCTTTTATGTTAGATTTTTGCCAAATTTCAGATAGAAATTGGGTTTCTTGTCGGTTTTTGCTTCGCCAGTGATAACTTATATTGTAGTAGTGGTATATACAAAAGGTATGTGCATGGAATCTAAGGGCTTTATATATCATCCGTAGAACGGTTGAGAATGAATTCTACATTAATGAGAGGAAAGACCTTGCATGTGATTATAAGAGGTTGAGCTACTTCTCATATTGCCAATTGGTTTTATAGTGGAATCTCAACTTTCTTCATGGTATCAGAGCAGGTTGTCCCACTTGTGAAGCCATATGGCCAGACACGCTCCATGTCATCCCGTTGTATTGTTCACGTGTTAGGCTTGAAATTCACCACACGTGAGGGGGTGTGTTGAGAAGGATTTCCACATTGATGGAAGGAGTGACCATGCATGGGCTTATAAGAGGTTGAGCCCCTCCTCATATTGTCAATTAGTTTTATGGTGGAACCTCAACTTTCTTCACTGGACGTTAAGCAATCTCTATTTCACTGACCTTTACAAAAGTTCTTCTATGGTACAAATGTCACTAGTATACAACAT